AACAAGGAGGCCAAGAACCTTCGTTCATCTGCGTCAGGCCCGAGCAGGGACCAGCATCGACCAAGAGTGGCCGTGGTCGCAGCGGCAACGCCGTTAGACCAAACCAGCGAGGCTGTGTCTGCCAGTGAAGGAGTCAGACTCGCAGCCGCTCGGGAAGGTGGCCGCCCGGGCAAAGGCCGAGGACGCGGCAGGAGGAAGACACACACCGCATCTAGCCCCGGGCTCGGTGCAGCAACTCAGACAGGCCCATGGACCCAGTATGGCATCTCCGAGTCCGCATTCAAGGCGCGCGAGAGATTCCATTATTGCCTTTGGTGCAACAGCGATCTTCACCAGACGCAGGCTTGCCCATTGAAAGGCAAGGGCAGACAGGGAAACTGAGCACCGCCGAGAGTGACTCGACGACACTCTCGACGCCTTCGGAGCCGGTTTCTTCGCGAGTAGCCGGCCTTCATTCCGAGGCGCATGCGGAAGTCGATAGTCCTCCTCTTCTACTTTCTTTTGAGGACTATGCTGCCCAGCTCGTTCCAACGCTGGGTACTCAAGCTCAAGGACAAGGAGTGTGTGCGGTTTCTTCTCCGTCCGGCAACGGCGACAGTTCGTCTTCAAGTGGTTCTTCACGGGATTCGGCGCGCGAGTTCAACATAGAGGCATTGGACCCGCTCACGTCTGAGGACTTTGCATGGCTTCCTCTCTCGACCACCGGYCGATTGCCGGGACCRCAATGCGCAGCACTTAGCGCTAATCTTCACACTTACCTATCCTTCTAYGCACCACCAACTTCGCCRACGGATGACGAAGTCGCGGTGGGGGACATCTTGGCGTATACTACCAAGGTGGCCCGCGAGTTTCGCACRCAGCGGTACGATGACAACAACGCACCGCTGATGTATGTCCGCATTCAGGTTGGGCAAGCGTCCTGCAGCGCTTTGCTGGATAGCGGCGCGACTCGCAACTTCATRAGCCAATCCTTTATGCAAAGGGCTGGCCTTGGCGCACAGGTTCGGAGGAAGGCAAACCCGACGGCGATCAAGTTGGCGGACGGTAAGACACAGCAACTTCTCGACCGTTACATCGAGGCCGTACCGGTCTACTTCGCACCTCATGCATGTGAACCGGTCACGTTCGATATTCTCGACACGGACTTCGACATCATTCTGGGAATGCCTTGGCTTGCAAGTGCGGATCACACGGTCAACTTCCATCGGCGGACTCTTAGCGTTCGCGACGCCTTCGGCGCGGAAGTGGCGTGTACTGTTCCTCTACCGCACTCTTCGATCCGGTGCCAAGTGGTAACGGCCAAATCATTCCGGGCGACTTGTGCCTACGAGCAGCCCGATGAGATCGGCCTATGTTTCCTACAGACCGTCGCGGTAGCCGACTCTTCCCCCACGAACTTGTCTTCGGACCCCCGTGTGGTGCCGGATCGGCCGATCTCTCACGAGATCATTCTTGAGGCCGGTGCTGTACCGCCGAAAGGTTGCATCTGTCGGATGAGCGAGGAGGAGCTTGAGGTACTCCGCGCACAACTCGATGATTTGTTGGCCAAAGGCTGGATCCGCCCGAGCAGCTCCCCATATGGAGCACCTGTTCTCTTCGTCAGGAAGAAGAACAAGGATCTACGATTGTGTRTCGACTACCGCAAGCTCAACGCGCAAACCATCAAGAATGCGGGGCCTCTTCCTCGCATCGACAATCTTCTCGAGCGACTGGGCGGCGCGAAGTATTTTTCCAAGTTGGATTTGAAATCGGGATATCATCAAATCTCGATCCAACCGCACGATCGCTACAAGACCGCGTTCAAGACACGGTACGGRCATTTTGAGTGGGTGGTCATGCCTTTTGGCCTCACCAACGCCCCGGCGACGTTTCAGGCGGCGATGACCAACGAGTTCCGTGCAATGTTGGACCGGTTCGTGCTGGTCTACTTAGACGATATTCTCGTCTACAACCGGTCATTGGAGGATCATCTGGGGCACCTTCGACGAGTGTTGGAGACGCTCCGCCGCGCYAAGTACAAGGCCAACCGCGACAAGTGTGAATTTGCCCGACAGGAGCTGGAATACTTGGGCCATTTTGTCACATTGGAGGGCATCAGTCCGCTATCGGACAAGATTCAGGCCGTCCAGGAGTGGCCGGAGCCTCGGAACGTCACGGAAGTTCGCTCGTTCCTTGGTCTTACCGGACTATCAGCGCTTTATCGAAGGCTACTCCAAGATCGCGGCCCACTTGAACAAGCTTCAGTGCGAGGATCGTTCGTTTGACTTTGGAGAGGAGGCGCGGGGATCATTCCTCGCTCTCAAAGCCGCGCTATTGTCTGCGGAGGTCTTGCGAATCTACGACCCGCTCGCACCTACGCGTGTCATTACGGATGCGTCAGGATATGGCATTGGTGCAGTCCTCGAGCAACATGATGGTGTGGACTGGCACCCGGTC